ATGCACAGCTTGCAGATGCCCTGCTGGCGGGCCAGCTCTTCCCGGCGGAGTGTCCTTGCGCTTTTCCTGCAGCAAGTGCAGAAACACTTCCAAACTGGCTGGCCAGGTGCTGTCCGCGATAGGGCATGCAAAGGCGCTCCGTCTACTGCTGCAGCACCTGCGCGTTCTCGCAGAGCTTCCGGATCACACAGTCCGCTCCAGTGGAGACTTTCGGGTAGTGCACCTGGCCAGTAGCTCCGCTCAGACCCCGCGGATGTCCTCGGTCCAGAAGTAGCCAGAGGCGATCTCTCCAGTCGCAGCCGGCCACAGCCCTTGCAGATTTTTGATGGGGGTGTTGAAGGAAGGGATCCATTCTGTGGAAAAGTTTGAGTGGGAGAACGCTGGCAGCCTGCTGGGGTCACTGCTTTCGGCCATTCTGATTATATGTGGATGCAGTGACTTGCCATCCGTGCTGGTGTTGGCATCGCTGATGCATTGGTGCCCGTGGATATCGTGGGATTTTTGCACGGTCACTTTCCTCCTTCCGAAAATTCAAACCTTGATCGACTGCATGCCCCGCCCTTTCAAAACAAGTGTGGTGCATTGCTGTGTTATTGGACTTCACCCGTTTATGCGCCCTATCGTGGGTTTCCCGGCTTTTCTTAGCTTGTGCTCAATGCCAAACGAAAGACCTCTAAACAGAGAACATTTCAGTATTTTAGTACACTTGCCGGATTCTGCGGCTGCAGCACAGCCATGCGTGCAGAAATCACAGCCGTTGGCAAACCATATCCATGTGGGCACGTGCACTGAAGAACCCGGCTGAACTGAGCGAAGCCTGTTTGAGGTGGTCAATCGACGCAAAGCCCCACCTGTTCCCATTTTGTGCAATGTCGTAACAATCCGGTGCGAAAGACTTAGTGGCGAGATGCTTTGTTTCATGCACAAGATGTTTTGTCTCATGCTGCAGCCAAGCGTGGTTTCCAAGCTCCTAGAAGAGGATAGTTGTCGGCTACATGTTCTCCAGACTGACATTGGCGTCCGCTTCCGTTGCGGCCGTCTCTGTTTGGTTGGCGTGGTCACCTTCGACGAGCCGTTCAGCCGCAACTAAACGGTTTCGTTTGTGTGATCATGTGCATTCCATATTGATGCGACCCTTCTTGGTTAGATTGGCACGAAGCAATCCGAACAAGGCTGGCAGGAGCAACACTTCTCTGACGAGCCTTTTTCTTGGCCAGATTCTTTGCGGTACTTGGACAAAGCTGGGTCGCAAGGTATCACCTTGAAGACGATCGTTGCCGGACCAAATCCAGCTGAAAGCAAGGGTGTTGTGCTGTTTGTGCACGGTTTCCCTGAAACCGCGGCATCTTGGAAAGAGTATATTCTGCATTATGCAGCAGCTGGGTACCATGTGCTTGCACCGGACATGCGCAATGTGAACAACAGCATGGCTGAAAGCGGCACGCTTTGCTTCGACCTCTTGTCTGATGACCTGCTGTCTTTGGTCACATCTACAGGTCATGACAAGGCTACAGCTGTTTTCGTTTTCTTTATGTTCTGGGAAGCACTTTGGAGTCTCTTGCCTTTCAGTTCAAGCCCCTGTCTCCAGGCTATTGTGGTCGGACACGACTGGGGCGCCGTGATCTCTTGGGTGTTTGCCTTGCGCTTTCCAGCCAGGACCCAGGCATTGGTGGTCATGGCCGTCCCCCACCCGGAGCTATATCGTGTCTTGGAAGCCTGGTTCTCTAGGCGAATTGGTAGCTTGGTGGTGGGACAACAAGGTTGTGGGAGCCAATCGTTCGTAGTCTAGCATGCCAAAGTCTTGCAGTCTGGCGACGATGGGTAGTTCGAGGGAAGGTTTTACGGTTCGCCCTGTAGACTGGTAGTACATGTTGCGGTGATCAAAACGAGTCAACACAGAGTGTCCGCATCAGCTCAAACAGCAACAGAAGTGTTGGTTACTCAACAAGAGTGTAGAAATATAATTGTGGTCCTGCATGCGAGAGCAATCAGGAAGTGTTCAGCCTTTTCATGAGAGCGTCAGTTGGTAGACCTGATAGGCACTGACAGAATGAGACAAAAGAGAATATGAAACAGAGGACAAACGGTAAAGGAACCACGGAGCAAAGGAACCCGACGTTTGAGTAGCAACTCGGAGCTTTGTCACACGACGTTGCACCGAGGTTCGTACAACGTTGTGCGGCTGCCATTCTCTGTCACGCATGTCTGGTATTTCCTCTTCTGGGGGCTGACTGGCCCGCTTGCGCGGTGGAAGGCCGCCAAGGACGATTTCGCCTGGTTCATATCGTTCGCTTTCGGCAGCCGGGCGAAGGGTTTGGAACTTTCGCACTTGGCAGACTTAGCATAGCACCGTGATGTGGTGCATCCTCCAAGAGCGGCCTGTATCCTTTGTGCCACTGAGGCAGTAGCAGGCCCAAGACCTACAGCAAGGAGATGATCAAGAGACTCAAGGAGGTGTATGCACGCACTTATCAGTCAGACACCCATTGTCCTCTGAGCACATGGTACTGGATGGGTAACGAATGGCTGCTGAAGAGCGTGTTGCCACCGTCAGTGCTCGGACCTGGCATCATAAACAGTTTGTGGACCGATGGACAAACCCCAAGTTGCTTGGAAGCACAAAGGGGCTGTCAGTATCCAACCAGCATTCTGTTTCTGGAGATTCCAAACTGTCACCCAATCTTGCAAGAGCCCAGGTATTGTTCCAACCTTGCAGCTGTTCGGGAGTGATGACATCTATGTGTCCCCTGGAATGGCTGGATGGTCCGCAGACTCCATGTACGTTGCACACCCATCCAAGAGAACAGTGGTATACGAATCCCGGCTGTCATAATGTTGGGAAGTTGACTCTCCCAGAACAGGCGAAACATAGCCGGAACACTTTGCTGACATTCTCTAGGACGCTTCCCACTGGCTTCTTCACGAGAAAACGGCCGAGATTCTGCAGGAGTGGTGTTCTGAAGGAAGCACATCAGACACATGCAACAATAATAAGAAAGTCTCTAGGCAGGCATCGGTTGGGTGTGTGTGTGTGTGTCAGCACTGACCGTCCTGCGTTTGGACACTGGGAGGAAATGGACGCATTTATCCAGTCCTCGCCGTAGCAGCTGGCAGCAGTGCGGAGAGATGGATCAGATGCCTGCAAGTCTGTTTGCGCTGTGTTGTAAATATTTTTACCCCACATGTCGGAGGACAGTTGAGGTGCAGCAAGATGCTGAATCGATTTAGCGTGCCGAGGCGTGCCGGCTCATACCTTCTCATGTATTGTTCAAAACGAGGGCTTGCCTTGCCCTGACTTGAGTCGGAAGTGGTTGCCTGAAGTGGAATCATTTTGTGTCAAACCGCATGCTGCATTGAACCGGGCCTTGTTTGGCCTAGTGGCCTAGTGACTTCGGAGGTCAACAGGATGCGCGGAAAGTGAAACCCTCCTCTGTACTGTTTGCAGCTCCAGCGGAGGGCCAAAAGGATAGATTTCCCCCTCCCGCCCCGCCGCGAAGCGCCCTCACTGGGGTTCCGGTCTCGGATCACCAGCTCCGACAGCCCAGCTCCACGCAATGATGAACCCCTAAGGCTCTCAGTGCACCCGCATGCGGCGGCGTCAACTCCTTCCAGGATCGTTTGCAGCCTTCATCTAATGCTCTTGCATGTAGGCCCTGATTTCAGATTGCTTGAGGAGCCCTGGCGGCATGTCTGGCATTCGTCTCAGCCATGAACTCAGCAGCTAGAGGGGCGTTGTGATCGTGGTGAGGCGAGTTCTAGCTTTGACGTCTCTGTTTTCCGAGTATCCTTCAGAAACATGAAGCAGTCTGACGTTGACAGGTTCGTAGTTTCCTTATGGAGCCAGCCTTCGTACAGGCAGTCTTCTCAGTGTGTGTGTGTATGTGTGTGTCAGTGCTTGCTCTGGAGATGTCTTGGCGTGACGGTTTGTCTGCTATGGCCATACCAAGCTGTCTCCGTTCCAGCACATCCGAGTAGCTGACTGAATGACTCATAAGTTGCTACAATCTATGCTTTTTGTAAGGCTTTGCATGCCGTGGGAAGTTAGCCTCTCAAGAACCCGACGACCTGGCTTTCGTCACATGCTTTGGTCAGTGTTGTCTGCAGCCATGCCTGCGCAAGCCTTGCTGGACTTGTTGATGAGGACGCTCAGAGTTGACCGTTGACCCAAGTTGATGCAAGCAGAGCAACGGCAATGTGCAATTGTGAGGACCGAACCTCGGTGTTTGATTCCCAGCGGCAAATCTAAAGGAGCGCTGTGCCACACAAGTCAAGCGTGACAGTGTGACATGGAAGGCAATCGCGCATGGCGTTTTGCAGTGTGGAGCCTCCAGTGACACCTTTGGAGTCTTAACGGACTTCCCAGCCTTTTCATGGAGCTGCCTGTTTCTTTGCTGCTCGTTGCGCATCTTGTTGGCCATCAGGATCCGAAAGTTTACAGGCACTGCCGCTTGGTGCCCCCACGAGATGTGGATCATCCTGGTGTCGCCGGTGGAAAACTCAAGCGCGAGAAATGCTCGAGGGGTTGCTTTGTTGTTGTTGTTGTCACAGAAAATTGACTGACAGCTACGTCTTTCCGATAAGTCTAGCACGAAGCTGGCACTGCAGAAGCCTTTCTGCAATCAAGTGTGGTCTGCCTTGTATACGTCTGGCTCAAAGTTTTTTTTGCCCCCGAGCAACTGTGGTCAGTTTGAGGCCTGTTCTGATGTCGCGAGTTGCACTCGATGTCGAGCTGACCTGACCTTGTGTGTTGAGAGTGTAAGGGCAGGCGGTGGGATTAGTGCTGGAACTCAGCAGGCTGTGGCCAACATGGATTTGGGGGTGCAGCATGGCTGCATTCGTATATACTGTGGAGACAGTGCTTCTACATCCTTGGCGGTGGTCGGCTACCGGACCAGGGGGTAGGGGGAGTGAAGTCCGACTCCGCAGAGTTCAGGCAATGCTCGAATCTGTTCCGCAGAGTTGCTCGAACAAGGCATTTCTATAACACGAACCAGAACCGCATGGGTTCAACCCAGTACGAGGCACAATTGCATGTTGGTCTCGGTGCGCCCGGTGATGCCTGGAGCATTTTGGGACCAGTGGGATGATTGTCTTGCAGCTTTTGAGTCAGCGAAGTTGGGGGGCAGCACTAGCTGTGTAGAATATCATCACTTGGATTTCTCACAGGCGCAGCCTATACAGATGCCGGATCCGATGGAACGAGTGACTTGGACGGGATAGGATATGTGCCAAATGTCAGTCAAGAGCCGAGCACCTGCAGTCAAGTGTGACGCGGTATGCAATGTGCAGAGCACACTCGGCGAGAAAAGTTGTGCCAAGTCCGTCCCGTGCTGGGTGCTGTGGTAACAAGGCCAAGACCGGAGGTTTCCTGCAGCGAGGTCGAGATCTGGGAGACAAGTTCCAGGCACGGATGTGCTGCCATGTTGCCTGGCTCTCAGTCCCTCAGCTCGAGGCTGTGCCGCTTCTTCCCGGGGGAGCTCTCAACGGAGCTACAATGCTGCCCATGCGTGAGCAGGCCGTTGTGGAGCCCGGCATGTGGCCCTTCCTGGGGCTTGTTGCTCAGGACCTCAGAGCCTGCGGTGGAGGCGGAATTCAGTTTGCCCAGGTTGGACAAGGGACAAAAGAGCGAGAAGTGGGTGGGACTCGTCGTTGCCTCGCTGCCTTCACGAAGGCCCAGCTCTGGAACGGAGACGGCAGTCCGCAGGCCCCGCTGCGCGGCCTCCCTCGAGTGGATCGTTTCCTTGAGTGGTTGACAGGCCTGTCCGAATCAGTTCCGCAAGGATGGCCAGGTCTGGTGGTCTCCAGGAAGGAGTATTTTGGAGTCGGGATAACAGCTGCTTCAGGCAGTGCTGACGCCCATCGGCCAGAACTTTGCCAAGACGGCTGCTGGGCCCAATCTTTGGAGCAAAGGCTGTGTGGTGAGCGTTTCGAGTGTCAGGTTTCGGAAATCTGAAATCCTGCCCAAGGATAGCCAGGCTATGTCTCCAAACTGGCAGCCGCACAAGGCGAGTGCATGCGAGTGCCTCCGGTGTTTATTAAAGCAAGACACTTGTGTCGCCCTGCACAGATCTGCACAGGTCTACCTGCCGCAGGGTCTAACTTCCTTCGTCGTAGTCGGTGAGGCGCACCAGGACACCACGTGTGTTCAGCATGAGCTGTCGGGGGGTCGTTGTTGCTTTGCATGCGGCATTGGCAGGACGTGGCGAGCCCGAACTCTCAGAGCTCGCCAATCCATGTGCAGGCCAAAGAGCACTGGGCGGATGGATTTTCCTTGTCGTTCGGTCCTCCGGTCCGCCAGGCAATCCCACTGCCGATGGGGACGCCCGTGCAGCGCGACGTTCAGGTGTTGTGTTTTGATGGGCCGGTGGTCCCCAGAGATGTGAAACGACACAAGCATTTCCCCTCTCTCCCTTACTCTGCCAGGGCGTGGTTCCCGCCCCTGCCCGCGCCCGTCAAGCCCCCTGAAAGCGCTGTCTTGCATGTTGGTGTTCAGAACTGAAAGTCTAGTGTACGACGGAGTGGAAGGGGGTGACAGGCTGGGCACTGCAGCCCTGGATCATATACGCTTGCTGTGTCGAATCATCGCGAATCTCGACTCGTTTTCGGAATGGTGATTGCTATGCCCTGCGCATTGCTGCCAGAACCTTAAGCTTGCGCTGCTGGAATCTTAAGCCTCCGGAACCCCGTCAGCAAAGCAACCACAGCCCCAGTCCGAGCTCAAACTTGGTTCCGGCCGGATGACACGTGAACTTCGTGGTCGACAGGCAATGCCGTTGGCTCCCGGAGCCGGGCTTCCTCAACACGCACAGCGGGACGGGCAGGCCTCTCCAGTATAACGTTGGCTGCTTCAAGTGAAGATTAGTTTTGATGGGCAGGCTTTTTTTGGCAGAGTGCAATTTCAATATTCTGAAGGGTTCTTCTTCATTCCAGCAGGCCTATCCTTTTGCTGCACCTGGAGCACCAGTGATGCCGATGAGGGACTGCCAGGCCAACCAGGTTTGGGATGTTTGTGAATTAAAATAAAGGTTTGTGGATTCTGTGTTGTTGGCCATTCGGAAAGCATGATGTACCCACGCTGTCGTACAGCTGCTGCTTCCGGTTGCCAAGATCAGAGCGTACGCAGCAGGCTTTCCCCATGCAGGGCAACGCGGTAGCACGGCCAATGCCGTACGAGGGCCAGGCAGCGATTCCCAGTCTCTTGGGTCCAGCCCTTGTCTTCTCGTGCTTTAGGCCTTTGTCGTGGCGCATCCGAACCCCAACGCGGTACCTTTGCGGAGTGACTGGCAGGCTGTGCTTTCGAGTGCTTGTGAGCAGTTGATTGCCGGCTCTCCGCTGGAAAGGTTTATCCCGTTTCGCAATCCGGGTCGAGTAGCCCCGAGCGGAATGAGAGCCAGGCATCCTGAGAAGCACTTGGTAGCATTTTGGAGAGCACAGCATGTATGTTTTGCGGCTTTATCCTGAGCACTTGACACCGTGAGCTCGCCAGGGCGAGAACACATTCTCACAGGTTAGACGGTGACAGTTGAATCTAAAAGGTGCAGCGTGAGCGTGCTGTGTCCGGCAGGCATTTTCGCAGATGACACAGATGCAGAATCTCGGCCCAGTCGGACTGATGCCGCTGGAGGGCCAGGTGGGGATCGCGATGCGTCGGGACCTTGCCATTTTTCAACAATGAGCGAGCCGAAGTCTGAGCAAGTCTGAGCGTGCAGCATTCTCAAAAGCCGCCGTTCAGACGAGTCCGAACAGTCGGAGCATGTCGATTGCCACACTTACTCGTTGCCACGGTTTCGACATGTTTCGACCTTTCAAGCCAATTTGCAGGTGACTGCTCCTCTGCCGCCTGGTGTGCCTAGTGAAGGCAAGCCACCATGGTTCCCTTTGATTGGGCATGTTGGATTGTACCCTTGCAGGAAGCATTGGCCATCCAGAGCTTTGCAGGCCGAGCAACGGCTCAGAGATTTGTCACGTGATGACACAGACGTGCAGGAGGCCCTGCTTCTACTTCGCCAGGAGCTTGGGTTTGGATGTGAGGCTTGAGAGACAAGCCGTGCATTCGAACCGGAACTGATTTGCATTGTTCTGCCACTGCCAAGGCGAAAGGTTGTTGTACGAATGGGAAGGACTGTGGCTACTGCCATGCACAGCACACGGAGAAGGCAGCGGAAAATGCCTGTAAAGTTGCACAGATTTGTCCCTCCGTTTTTATCAAGGCTTTTCTCTTTTGCATCTGTTCAGGCCCCAAAGCTAGACAAGCGACAGCGTCTGGTCCTCCAGTCTCTCCCTGAGAACATGCTCCTGGAGATGCTGATGAACCGCGTGCAGGCTGCAACAGGCTTCTGCTAAGAACAGAGTGGCAGCTGGCACTTCTTGCCAGGAGAAGGCCGAAGAGCGACTTGGACAAAAAATCCTCCAGCTGTTAGGGAAGTTTTAGGGAGGCTTGGGAGGTCCTGCACCAGTGACAGAGTTTGTCCATTGAAGAATCCTAGACCGCTGAGCTCGAGTTGGTGAGTGCATTTTATGAGCACGGTTTAGGAAGCGAATGACAGCTGCCATGACTGACATCCTGGACCTGTGGCAGAAGCCACTTGGCCACCACTACTGGTGTCAGAGAGCATGGCAAGTGCATGCAAGCGCCCAACAGCGCATGCTGTTGTGGCAGCATGCGCAGTCACAGCTCCAAGGCGGCTAGCATACTTGGCCGTGAATCCGCCGGTGGTGTCTCCCGAGGACCATTGACAGCAGAGGTAGAGAGATCACAGAGATCCTTTCTGATTGCTGAGTGCCTTTGCAACAAACGGTTGTCAGGCAAGTTTAGGTGAGCTTTGCAATGCCCAAGGATGCCGAAAATCTGGCAGAAAGGCCGCGGTCTGAGCTGCAGACAGTGGCTAACCGGCTTACCCACTGCGGCTTACAGCCGAGGTATGTGCGGAATCTGGACAAGATCCTTCGAAGGACACGGGCACAAAATGATGAACATGGCTTTGCCCTCCAGCTGACTCTGTCATCCTGTAAGACTGCGAATGAGTGGAGAAGGTGCCGCTATGTCCTTTATCCCGGCGACACTTCAGACAGCACGGCACAGACTTCTCTCTGTGCGTCCCGCGTCTTGTGGGTTTTTTTGAGAAGGATGCGCCGTCGTTGACTGGCTTTGCGAAAACCAACTGAATGCTGGACTTCATCTCTTGGACAACCGCAAACTGGGGACAAACAGCGTGAAGATCAGGAGTGTCTACGTATGTTCGGTGCTTGGGCTTTTGTGGTGGTCTGCTTTTCGAATCCTCTCTCATCTGCGCTTTGGGCACAGCAGAATCGAGCAAGATGCAGAGCAGGATTTTGAGGGAGCCTTCTGCAGTTGATCGCATTTCTTTCCTTATTTTTTTGTCTAAGCTTCATTTATCACGCCGTCTCGAGGGGATGATTTCAATGATCGAAAAGCCGGAAAATGGTGCGCTTTGGTGCGCATGGAGACTTGAGATTCAAGCCGTCTCCTGCAGCGAGGATGAACATATCGGAGCTGATTGTGTGATGCCCAGCAAAGCTGACAGTTGCTGCACTCCAACAGCATGGCTTCAACTCTTGTGATCTCCCGGAAGGCCCTGGCAATTCGCAGCGCAAAGGAGGAGCAAGGCTATGTCGGCGATCTGCGCGAGGTGCACCAAGTTGGAAACGGCTGCTTGTCGGGCAGCGGGCTTCTTCGGCCAGGCCCTGTCCCACTTGCGAACGAAGGTTCCACCGACACTGTGAGGCCATGGACCATGGCTTCAATCTCTTCACAGTGTCATTGTGTGTGCAGCCTGTAGCTTGCATGGTCTTGCATTGCTGAGGTGTGACCGCACTGCATAAGCAAGCTCATGTCCGGAACGTTGTAGATCCTGTGCTCGCTGCCGATGTTTTACCTGTGCAGGTGACAACAACCGAGTGCGGACAGCAGCATGTGGCCGGACGCAATCCGTTGATTAACGCCGCAGAAAACAAGGTCCGGGCTGTCCATCCAAAGAAGGACTGTTCGCTGCCTTTCTGCGAGCTGGTTCCACTCTGTTTCCTCGAATCACCTGGAGGTTTGCTTCCCAGAAAGGTCTCAAACTTCTCCATCTAGTAAGCTGGAAGCCGCTGGGGCGGGATGCCTGCGGGCTCTGGTTTTCATATACTGTTTGATCGAAGATCTGTTGTTCTCTTTACTTTGCTCCGAGTACGGCTCCTTTTGAGAATCCCCTTCGAAGGCTGCCTTATTGGCAGCTTTCAGAGGTGGGGATGGCTGAAGGTCAGCCATCCTCGCTTCGGCCAAGCCGTTTCTTAGACGTTCTCTGCTCTGCTTCTTCTCACGGAGAAGCTGAGCGGATGTTCCGGACCAGGGCACGAAGTGGTTTTACAAATCTGGGCCCCGCAGCCACACTCGATCGCACGTTCTTCGTGACCTGAGATTCTGACCGCTTGCCGGCAGAGATGGATTCCTCCAGAGGAAGGCCCTGCATAGGATTGCGCTGAGTTCCGGTTGTTGAGGGCCTCTCATCTCTCAGCAGCTGAGACGCGCACGAACAATTCTTACAAGCAAGGAGCAACTGGCTGAGATATCTGCAGTAGACTCGACCTTGTCGTATGATGTCATATTCAAGACTGTCTGACAGTCTTGAAGGGTGTTGCTCCCTCGCAACTTTATCTCGTGACTTGGAAAGTTCTGGTTGGCTAGACGATCAGGACCTCGGATCGCATCGAGTCGTTTGATTGTGTGGAGATGCGACTGGCGACGGAAACGCCCAAGAACCGAATGGTTTTTGCCAAGAGAAGCTGTGCCATATTACCTCGGATCAGAATATATAGTCAGATGTCAGGGCGTTTGCCGCAACTTTTAATTCTGTACAGACTGCATGAAGCCACAAGGTAACGATGCATCATGCAAACTGCAGTTTTGAAGGATTCCAGGAAGCGCTTGGTGGGTAGAGCTCGAATGTAAGCTTCAAGCGTTCGTGCCGTGACCTGGGATCGCATGCTTGCCAGGTCGCGTTTTTCACTTTGGTTGCGTCTCGAATGCAGTGGCAGCCCTGCGAAACGCGTGCTGCGTGGTGGGCCCTCAATCTCCCAGAAATCAGCGATGTGGTAGAAGGAGAGACTCGAGTGGCATTGAAGCTTCCGAGACACATTCTATCAGCATGAGCCTTCAACGAGTCTTTGCTGTTTAACGACAGAGGGAATTAAGTGCAAGCAAGCTGATATGCTGTGCAAACACATGTATAGGCCTCAACTCTCTGACAGGAGCATGCGCACGCGACAAAATCTGACCGTGCTGGCTGCACTTTGCCAGGCCTTTGCAAGACGCCGAGAGTCAAACACTCCAAACCCCCGGCTCTGACAACTTCAAATCAAGTCGTCGGCCCACAACAGCGGTGACGCAGCTCCCAGGCCCCCTGCGGCTCTGTTGCTCCTCGGAGGGCCGCCGCGGGGCCGAGGAGGGGCCTCGGGCCGCGTTCTGGGAAACGTTAGGGCAAAGCATCTCCTACAGGGCTGCGAGCATCTCTCCTCCTGTTTTAAAGGACAACATCTACGAGGCCCGCAGGTGCTGCCCTGACAAGTGCGGCTCTGGCCAGGTACCTACAGCTCAAACCACACAAACCTGAGTTTCAACAGATTGGGCAGGGCTTCCGTGCTTCGTGCGTCATCTTGGCAGCTTGTTTCTCAGGTCTGCGCTGCTGGTATGACGGCTGCTCTGGGTAAGCCGCACACGTGGGCTTGTCATAGACACATGTTTACCTTTCATGTCGGTCAACCTGGTTGTGAAGAAAGCAATCAAAGCTGCCAGGCGTACGCTCCCGTGCTGCTGCCTGTTTGAGAGGTCATTCTGTTACTTGAACACCTGTCGCTGTGATTTCGGTTCTCTCCTCGTGTGTGTTTGTTTGATCTTCTGCCTTGCTTCGCCCGTCACATGCTTCGCTCGCAAGAACTGTCATAGCCAGGTGCTACCACTTCTCCTATAGTTTCGAAGGCCGCAGAGCTTTCCCGATGCTGATGCTGATAGCTGTGGGACGTACACTCATGCCGTGGGCTTGTCCAGCGCTTGCTTGGGTAGGCCATGGGCGCTGCAATTCAACCCGCTGCCACTGCTTTCGCGGGCGCTTCTGCGGGCGCTGTCTCGGCAGCCCCTGCAGGCACTCAAGCACTGGTCCACACGAGTCGCACAATGTATAGGTCCAGACTAGACCCCACTTGAGCTGAGCTAGTGTACACACCCGTTCCGGTTCTGATCATGACCAGGTGAAGGGCCTGAATTGTTGCATCTCTCTGGCGTCAGGTTCCGAGAATGAGCCAAGGGAAGCAAAGACGAAGCGCCGGATGCTGATGCCCAAGGACGGCGGCACAAGAAAGAGCATCTTTCTCTGCAAGATCTTGTGAGCCTAGCTGATGGATGGCATGCTGTGCCGACTGCAGAACATCAAGTGGCGAAAGCCTCACAAGCCTCCAGTCAAGCCTTGGGACACAAACAGGCCGGAGCGCACAGAGCGAACGTGAAGCCTATTGTAGTTTTGATTGAGCTGTCGGGAAGGTGGAAGTACAAGGGGGAGGCCTGGAGGTGCGGACCGCGGCCAACTTTCACTTCTTGCTCGAGCCTTGAAGTGGCAGAGCACAGCAGAGCCTTCCGTCGGGTTCCAGGGGCAACAAGCCCTACTTCGGCAAGTATGCTTTGCAGATCCTTGAGGAGGCAGCGAGTAGCTCGAGTGCTCGCGCTCGATGGCCGTCAGTGCGCCGCGAGTGACGGCTGCAGGCATGGATCAATGCACCGAACATCGAGGCCTGCCGTCGTATGATGGCGGCAGACTCAGTATGAACACAGCATCAAGCCGCTGCTAGGTAGTGAGTTTGTCCCGTAACGGAACAGCCAAACCACTGTGTCGACAAGACAGCTTTAACTCGAGATGTCTGTATCCAAGATCGCTTCGCAAAATACCGTCGGAACAACAAAGACAAGACTGGCCATGGTAAAGTGTTAAAGCAAGGTCTGCCATGACGAAATGAGTTTCAGAACTTCGCACTGTTTCGCTCTTCGCTAGATTGTGGAGCTACTGGCCGGCTGTAGCCGGGAGCACAAGTCGACTTGATAGCAGTATGTGGGTTTGCTGGCAGGATCCATGAAGGGGCTCCTGGTCAGGGAATTCAGGGACAAGCCTATGAGGTATGCCTACGAAGGTATTCCAGTTCCTAAGGACAAGCCCGTGACGGTATGTCTATGGCCTTGCAGGCCACGATCCGTGACCGATGGACGATTATACACTGCTTTCGAAGGAGGTAATGCCGCCATTAACCGTCTATATTCCGTGCAGCAGTTTCATCGTGGAGAGTTTCAGTAGTTCAGCCAGGAACATGCAACAAATTGACACTTGCGAGCTTTAGGTTGCTTGCAACTGTCCATTTCTTCTCATTGTCGAGTACGGCTTCCAAGAAGGTTGTTGATTTCCGGATTGTCACCACTTTCAACGTTCCGTAAGGCTTTCCCTTCTTGTTTTCTCTTGAAGCTGTGCATCCATTCCTCATCGGGGTGATGTTATCAGTTCGGTGAGAGCCGACGACGACCCATAAGCACGTATCGTAATGCGTCACTCTGCTGGGACGCAGCAGAAAGCCAGCAACCAAATAGATTCATTGTCTGTAGTAAATGCCTTGCTCATACACAGAAAGGTGGCAGCTCATGTGCAAGCACATGCACTGTTTGCACGCAAGGCAGCATCGTCATCGCAGTCATAATTCCAGCGAAGTACTGCTTCACCATATCTCAGAAACTTGGAATCGCGGGAAAGGCTTGCTTCGCAGCATCCCTCGCAGATCGGATTGCATGCTTCAGCCTTGCCTTGCCGTTCTCCGAGCCGGATGCTTCGCTTGGACACTGCTTACCTTTGGAATTCCCAAACATTGCACAGCGTGCTCAAGGTGCGAACTCTGCGACGTGACGGCGGAAAAGTGTGGCTGCGATGCTTCCCGCATTCGGTCTGGCTCTGAGAAAGCAAAAGCGGGCTTCACAGCTTAGGAAGCAAGGATGGCAAGGTTTCGTCATGTTTCATCTTTCGAGGCCATTACATGGCGTGGAAAAGAGACACGAATGGGCGGCGGCAAAGGCACCATCCAGCCTCGAGCTTGGCAGATCTAGGGTTTTCAGCCTGGCCTTCGCATTGCAAACTTTCGATCACTAATATTTGATATTGCAACATACGGCCATCCCCATGTTTCAGGTACTGGGTTCAGGCAGTCCGGCCTGGATACATCCTTTTCGAGGTGGATGGTTGCAGTGAGGCCCGGCTTCCAGAATCTTAATAGCAGAAATCCACATGGCGCCTCTGCTGTGATCTCTCCGTGATGCATGACGAGCGCATCTGTTCCTTGATTGAAAGCAATCTGCTAAGAAATTTTCAAGCAGAGCTTAGGTTGTTCTGTGCTATGAGTGCATGTGCCGCTCGTGATCTTTTGCCTTGAACGGTTTCGGTCCTTTGCAGGTGTTTGCATGCGGACTTTGCACCAATGCCACGGCTGTTACCTCTGCCAGGAAACTGCGCGCCGAGCCTTCCACTACATGATGAAGTACCTGCCCTTCAAGGCTCCTGGGAACCAGACCCCAGACACACAGTTTCGCTGTCAGCCTCTTGCTGTGCTCAGACGAAGTTCCTCATCAAGGAAGGCCCTTCTCGCTTTGAGCTGGGTCTGGCAGGCGCGCCCATGCAGTGCTTGGCATGTAGGAAGGCAAGCAGTTGCAGGGGCTCGTGAGTTTCTTTTATGCGGGGTCGTCAACTGTAATCCGAGGTCCTTCTCGTGGCTAAGTGGCTCAGTGCATTCTTGGCACAGTCGCAATCTGCTTAGGCAGCCTGAAGAGCAAGAAGCACATCCCGGAAGAGTTCCGCAAGAAGTCTGATGCCGACTAAGATTTTCGCGGGACCCTGCATCCTGCCGGAGAAGGAGCAGAAAAGTTTGTGCCGTGCCGCAAACGGAGAGCGATCTGCTTCAGAATTGCATCAAGCTGCAAGGCTGCAAGTTCTGCCTGTTTTGGGAGGCGATAGTATTACGCGGATACCCGAAAGTACGAAGCACTTGCAGGCCTCAGCTCCACCCATTGAAGCCCGCAGCAAATTCGACTGTCGCATCACTGATTGGTACCCGACCTCCGAAACCTTGACGACAACCTTGAACCTTCGTGTCGGCTTCAAACCAAAAGGCCTGGAAACATGTTTGAAATGACTGAAACAAAGTGAAGGTCACCTACCTGGGCAGCCCGTCCCCTCCTGTCCATTCAACACTGTCGTCGATCAGAAGGTGGGGACGGCAGCCGCCACTCTGAGGCTCGGCCCCCTACACCGAAGCAAAACCGAGCTCAGAGGAACCCGGATCCCGGAGCTGTGAATGCGATGCCACGCCAAACGGTGCAACGGACAGCAGATTGCAGGGCCGGGTTTCATCCGCGTCCAGCGAGGAACATCGTTCAGACCCCGGCGCACTCGACAGGGACCGGGCAGTGGCGGAGAACAGGGTGGGTTCAAGGCTTCGTTGCGAGACCTGCAGTTTCGGCTCGGGTTCTGGCAACGAAGCGGGCAAGTCGCGACGGGCTTCACAAAAGGGTTCGACAGGACACCGCGAGGTTGGATTTGGGAGTGACAACTCAGGCGTCGTCCAAAGGCCTGCAGTGCATGGGGTTTGCAGCGTGAGTTATTCAAGTCCAGGAGCGCTTTGCTTGCTATCGTGTTTTCACAACCGCTTTCCTTTTAACCCGTCGTTTTGGTGCCTTGATACAGTGGCGAGTCTTTTAACATGTCATGTTCCTTGATGGGAGACGGTTCAACAGCGGGCTGTGACTGGCAAGAAGCCTGCAGGGAGGCGAAAAGGTGCCTCCACGAGAGTTCGTATGGTCGTGTTGCACGGACAAGGCGGAACTCCCAGACCCTAAATCCTCAACGTTCCGACACACGGCATTGAGACTAATGTCGAATCAATGGCCTTCGCCGGTGCAGCACAGTCGAGTCTCAACGTAAATGATGGCAAATGTGACTCAGACTGTATTTTCGGATAGCGACTAGACTAGACTAGAGGTTGGAATCGGAAGGCACACGCTGCTCCATAGCACTGCATGTAAATATCTTCGAAATCGACAACCAACCTGAACGAATGAGGCTTCGTGGTCCAGAGTCTGGGACTTAGTGTTCAGGGTTGTTTCCCGACATATTCAAGATGATGGAGAAAGAGGCTCAGACATAGAGTTTGCATCAAATTTCAAGACGCGGCTCTCGTCCCTGTCGAAGTAGCAGCATTTTGGTGACTTGGCTCTCAGCTGCTGTGAGGGAGGGGGGCAGGGCCTCGGTACGAAGGCCCCCGCTCCAGGACCGACAAATTCAGACCTGGCGAGATTCATGTTCACACAGACATTGTTCGTCATGTGGCAGGAGTGCAACAGTTCACGGCACCATGGCCAGCAGCACGATCCCGTGCTCCGCTCATGTGCTTGGCACTGGAAGCAGCAGGAGCATTAAGGTGACACGTTGGATATGTGTGTTTCCATGCTCACAATGCGTTTGCAACCTGATCAGGTACATTGGGAGCAAGATCAGTTTGATTTCAAATTCAAACATCCGGTACGAGGCTGTTGCTCTGCGTTGGGATGCTCGGGGTGCCAAAATGCATTCAAGATGACAGGGCATCCTGTACACCATCAACACACAGGAGTCCACCATTGCCCTACAGTTACCTGCCAAGTCGAAGTATTGGCGAACTGAGAAAGTGCCCAACAATCCATCTTGCTTCATGGCTTCATGCTTCAGTGGTAGCGCCCCCTTTCATTTTTCAGGTCGGTACGGTCTTTCGGCACCGAGGGCAGAAAGGTGCATTGGGACATGGTGACTTCTTTTTAGTCTTTTCTATCCCTTGTGACAACGGCAGAGAGTGCTCGGCAGATTGATTTGACTGGCGGTGACAGGTGCCGGAGATCCCTCCCTCTAGTGAAATCTATGACTTCATTATCTTCCGCGGACAGGACGGCTGGATTTCGCGGAGATTGTGTGTGTCGGATTCGCCTTTGAGTATTTTCTGTGTGTTGAAAAGCAAGAGAATTCGTCACTGGGGCCGTAAGGCTGTAAGGGGCAAGACTCGCAAGTGCAGTTCAGACTGCAATGGTGCAACTGCAAGGATTGTTTCTGTAATCGGCTTACACGAGGACTGCGCAGTTCATGCGTACACACAACTTGTCCCATTTCGAGCTGTCCAGTATCTCGAGCTCGCCACACTTGATCTGGCTTCCTTGTTGCCACGGACACACACCCACACCCCCACCCCCACCCCCACCCCCCCCACCCCCACCCCCTGAGATGTAACTTGGGCGTGTGAACCCTCGCAAGGCGTACAGGCACACAAGCACACAAGAGTCTCTTTTACAGCTATCCGGCTGAAGTCCAGATACTCTGCTATGCTAGAACCTTGAGCACACAGACACGGA